TTTAAAAAATATTGATTAGAACAAAAGTTATTTAATTTGTCAGAATGTCAGATCTCTTTGGGACACCCTGTATACCTAGGTAAACTCATTTACTATTTAAGAAGTGTTATTGTAGGTATTTATTTGAGTTCATTCTTCACCAATAAAATACATTTTTTATACATTTCTTTCTTTATTATATTAATATAAATGAAAAAATTACTTTTCAAAGTAAAACTAATTCTATTTTCAAATTAAGTGGTTCGATTTGCCTGTATTCATCTTATAACATTGAATTAATTGAAAATTATAATAATAAGAATGAGCCTAATGTTAATTTTAATATTACATTTAATATACCTAATTATAATAACCATMTAAATTGGAAATAGAAAATACTTCAATAAACGGGTTTTAAAATTTCTCAGTGATTCAAAAAAAAAAAAAAAAAGTAAAACATCCTTTAAAGAGAAGTAGGTATGAACTATAAAAAATTATAAAAAACAATGTTTATTATTTCATTCTATAGTGAAAAGGGTACCTATTATAAACTAACTAGTAAAATTATCAACATATCTTAGAACTATAACATTTTTTTATGGTATAAAGTATAGCATTTTTTAAATTAATCAACTTATTGATTTACCTTCGTAAAATATTATTACCACTAGAACATCAGCTTGAAAAAAAAACGTTCTCRCCCTTAAAATTRACCTATCGCAGGAATCCTACAACTTATTATTTCCCTTAATCGTAAATCACAGGACAACTTCTTAATTTTTTTCTTGCTCTTGCATCAGTTATTAAGTATATAATCACAACATTTATAAAACTTTTAAGTCAGAATAAAAATTATAATCGATATGTTCTCAATAGCCTTCTAGACTATCCGTCACTACTGAAGTTCTAAATCTCACTTTTAAACATCGAATGCTAGCAAATTACATTACATGCCTCATATAGTCATATGTTTATGTTCATGGAATGGTTTACGCATAATTGTATGTAAAAAATAACAACAAGATCGTTGAAACGGTAACATACTTAGAAATTTTGAGTATTAACAAATTATACAACTTATCCATATTATACTTAACGATTTGTCAGAGTTGGGTCCCGTTGGGTTAATCAAAGRGCCATCTGGACATCAAAAAATTAACTCGTTTTGGATACAGCCTATTTCCGACAAATTTAATCAAATTATAAATATTTTACATTATGTACTGATGTAAAATGTATTTATTTATTCATATAATATTWAAAGACACGAATTTTACACCATGATAAAAATCAATTTTAATTTTAACAATATAATAGGTAATTATAATATAAATTTGTTTAGATCGGAGTTTATATTACGAGTTTTTTATAATAATTATGAATAATACATAATTGCTTGTTGTAAGGTCAATTTTATTAACTATACTAATTAAAATAACTTAAATAAACAAAATACAAATGATAATATTAGGTATATATTGTAACGTAATGACTGATTGATAAAATCACACTGTGATAATTTTTATTCGATAATTTGACATAGCAAAATCCAATAACAGAAGTACCTACACCGTACAATATAACACAACTGGTATAAAACTTTATTTTAGTCTGTCTACGCAATGATATACAAAACTTTAAAATCTATAGACGTATAAAAATAACTTTTCTATGATTTACAACTAACAGATGTTATAACGTATAATGTGTCTTATTTAAAATGAATAAATTAAACCAAGCCTTTAATGTAAAATACTTACATAGGTAGGTAAATTTGACAGAAATAAGCTGTCGGAAAAAAGTAAAAAACACATCTTTATGTATTGGTGCAAATTAGTAATTCCCAAAGTACATCACAAACTACACTAGTTGGGTTTTTAATATTTATTGGTAAATACTATCATACCATAATACCATTATTTTTCTTCTTATTATTATTATCATTATTAATCGTTTTATTTATTATAGTGATTATGAATACGGGTGACTTCACCCGTAATTTAAATTGTTAAATTGATCAGTTGTTTGAATGTTGATGTTGATTAATGTTTTATAAAAATCCAACCAAGAAATGTCATTTTTCATTTTTAACCACTGTTACATTTTAAGCCCATTAAGATGTTGAATTTAAGAGAAAACCCTTAACTTTCAACAATAATATGAAAACAATRTAAAATAATTTACGGACAAAATAACATTACAACATTTATACCTACCTAAATAATAATAATTTACATTTTCCTGGAACACGTACACCAAACGTTACCAGTTGACTGATATTATTATTTCATAGTTTATTATATAAACATTATAACACACAATAATATGTATATAAATATGAAATTTACACGTAAAAATGTATTTTTGCCAATTTTGAAAAATCTTATTTTGTACATGGTGAAATTATATATTAATCTATCTATGCTCAGAATTTCAAGTCAACAACTCTAATAAATTCGGCTCTGCGTTGATTATGAATCAGGAGAAAACTTTCTTATATATATATAATCAAATACATTTCTACCAATACAAAAGTGATTTTTTTTAGACAATATATTATATTTATTTATGTTATAATATGTTAACATGTATTTTTTTTTTTGGTATTGTAACTAAATATTATGTATCATATCATAATATTTATAAAATTCGAATAATCAAAATTTGTAATGGTAAAGAAACTACACAAAATTAACTGTATAAAATACATTTTTTCTATCCATGCCTTAATTCTAAATACATTTTAATTTATAGATAGACCGTTAAAAATTTAGTATATATTTATTTATTTCAAATATATGGACAATACATCCTATTTACAATACCTATGGTAATATATAACGTAATTACAAAATAAATAATGGCATACTTAGTTGGTCCTGGACAGATTTTGAACTGGATTTAACAATTTAAATGGTACATAGAGGACTACTAATTATAGTCGAAAACAAATTTATTGCATTTATTTTTTTATTTWTTTAATTTATTAATTTTTTTTTTTAATTTTTTTTGCGGAAATTAAAAGGTTGGCAGGACTGTTGACACAGACAAACGCATATTAAATAGTATGCTGGGACAATCTCCAAGCCATATGTGCTTACATTATAAAATTTCAATAGTTAATAAAGGAGTCTATCTCCTCTTAGTGCCCTTCACATTATATAAGTATTTTAACTAATTTTGATTTCTACCAGTTTGCTTTTCCACAACCTCGAATTTGTAAGCGCAATACCTAAAATAATGCGGGGCCCAACTATCACACCTATTATGTCTAAAATAATCTCCGACCAAACTAATTTAAAAAAATATGAATTCAGGACCAAATTCAGATGCAACTGCACGGCTGCAAGTTTATGTCTAATGATACCTTCTATAGTGGATTGAATTTAATACGCCGAACCTTATTATGATATTTGAATATTTTGAAAAATTTTTCATTAATAACGTTACAAAAGTAAATTGTATACAAATATGCAATTAGTATTATTGTATTAATCCTTTCTGCATTGCATAATATAAGCATAAAACATTTAAGCTATTTCCTTGTTGACCGAATAGGTACAATCAATAAAATTATGCACAAAAATAAAAATAAAAACTAGTTTGCCGCATTGTAAACACGGAGTCAGCGCCAGGTCTAGTAAATGATCTTCTATTAAATATTTTTTTTCTTAATGTTTTTTAATTCATTGTTTAATCAAATAATCAAATAATACAGTGGTAAGAATAAAACATACAAGATACGAATATGCGTTAGTGTGCACGAGGAAAATATTTTAATGATAATGCGTATATGCGCCAATAGTACCTACTGAAAGTTCCCCTCCTCTTAAAAAAAAAGTTTCATAAATTACACGGGTAATTTTATTTTTATGATTTATGCTACCTGCCCATTTAAAGTTTAATATTGGAACTATGATGGTGTAAAACGTTATTTATTGTGATTCATTAGACAAATTACGACGATATGAACACAATATTAATACTTGACTTGTAATAAGCTACTTAAGAACTATTGTTATAACATACACATGGCCATATAGTATGTTACTTACCAATTATTGTTTTCTTTAATACCTTCCTATTAATCGATTATAATTATAATAGTCAAATACCGTACGTGTTCTACGTTACTAATAATATAATATTCATCAATCAAAATTATCGACTTGACTGATGCGTATTAGTCTCCACTACAATATGATGTCTAAGTCCATTTATGACATACTACAATTATCCAGAGACCTTGAATTAAAATACATGTGTCGTAGTTTTTTCAATCCATAAAATTTCAAATAAATACTTCATAACATATACAATTATTCTAGTCAGCTATATTATGTGATATTATTGAATTCGTGTACCTACTATTAATCGTATTAGCTAAAGATATTTTGTGTTGTTATTTAAGGTGTTTTCTATTGTATCTTTTATGTTGAACAAACGATACAATGTTACGATATTAAAAAATATTATATTGATATTTTGATCATAATAATATACTACCTATATGGCTATATAATATGTTATGACAGTTAATTTTTCCACATAAAGCCACACTATTAATTGTGATAGTAGGTAAACAAAACCAGTATCAAATTGTTAAATATATGTAATCAGGTGTTATGTTATAGTTTGATAAGTATACCTACTTTGAAAAAATAAAATTGTCATATTTTGATATTTTGATAATATTAACCAAATACCTTAGTATTACAGAGTCATACAATATAATACGAGTATCTATATTTTAAACATAATTTTATATTAACATAAAATCATTGAAATTATACACTGCAGTAATTTGATATTAATATTTTTGATAAAAATATTAGATAAATAAAAATGTTTTCATTATTATTTATTAGATATTATAGATGATTTAGATTTATTTACTTTCCTCTTAGTATTGAATACTACATAACTACCAATAATATATCAAATCAAGTTATAATTTTCACATTTACTTTACTAAGCTTCTTAAGAATATAATGTAGTAATTAGTAAACAAATGTTTTACATGTCTACATTACAATTTGTTTCACTTAAAAAAAATAACAACGTTATAATATGACAATGCATAATTTGTTATCTTATTGCATATATAWATTGAGCTGTGTCATTTATAGCACTATAAATTTTATAAGTACCTATACCTATGACTGTTAATTATTTATTCCGAGTGTTTAATTAATTATTAGTATACATGTAGGTACCCACTTAAATTTTGATAAGATTTGATCGTACTCAATGAAATTTTAAATTTCAATCAGTTTTTAGGCTGTAAAAACTACTAAAAAAAAATTATTTAAGCTACTTTTTTTTTTTTTATTGATCTGAAATATACATCGACAACTAGGCCATTAGTACACAAATTTTTGATTAAATTGTTAGTATTTTAGTATTTACATGATTACATTAAATTAATTTGTACAGTTCTGTTTTTTTTTAAGAATAAGATTATAAGCTTTTAACGTCCTGTGGGTTTGGTCCTAATGCTTGACAAATTTATTCTGAGATGTGGGATCGATTTCAATACTGGTTATATTTTTGACATTCTGTAATGATGTGGTTGACCGTTAAAAGTACATTGCACGAATCTATTTAAGTTTTTGATGAACACGCTTGTGTTATTTTTGTAATTTATTTTATCTGAGTTTTATAGTATGGAACTCTTTTAGAATGAGTTACAAAACCTAATTTTGGGTTTGAATGTAAACTAATAATATATAATGAAATAAATTTCATTTGTTAGAATTATAAATATTTATAAAAAAAAAAATTTTACCACTAATAAACAAATTATACGTAATTATATTACGTATATTACTGATAYTGATATTTACTGGACTCTGATGAAACCCTCGTTCCTTGTTTTGTATAATTATTTCCACCAAACCATTCAGCCTTGGAATATGTCCTTACTATTTATTATCATATTTGTATTAACGTGTTTACATTATAGACTTTTTTTATATAGATTTATGAACAATGTGGTTGGAATATATTTGGATAGCATTAACTGCTATAGCTGCAATATCGAACAATAGTGTATCTCATGCTCAGAGTCAAAACACTAATGAAACCAAAATAACAAATCTTAGAAATGATAAGGTTCAGAAATTACACGATACTCCATACACAGAAAATATTACAAAAATTATAAATAATGGAAACAAAATTAATACCCAAACATTATTTGGAGATATTATTGCGAATAGTATGAACAACTTCTTACCTTTTTCTAACGTCAATGAAAATTGTACTAGAGATGGACAACAATACATGAATAATTTAAATAACCAAACATTATGGGCTGTTAAAAGTAAGTAAATAAAAAGTTTATTATGTTTTATTATTGTTACTAAATAATAGTTACATTTTTATTTATTTTGTTTAACGAAAAATAACCGTTAAACCGCATTACACTAATTTCCTTTAACAGGATGATACCTACACCCGCGGTGTAGTTGTCTCCGGCTTACAAATGTATAAACAATTGTTTTGCTTTGGATAGAAACATTTGAGCTTAGTGACAATTCAGACTTTAAACTTATATATAATATAGTCGAGAAAATTATTTGTTAAATATCGTTCTTATTTTTTTTTTKATATCACTTATACAAAAAAAATCTTATTGTTTCAAAATCTATTATTTCATATTTTTTCAAACTTGAATAACTTTTTTGTACCTAGTTCTGATATCGAACAAATAAAATCAATATTCTACAATTAAATTTATCCTTTTTAGGTGGTGAAAATGTTGTTTCTCAAATATGACTTTAGTAGTCTTCCCGTTTTATTCCCGCGCGAAATAGTTTTTTCTATGTTTCACATTAGTAGGACAGAGATAACACATGTAGGTTAAGCGTCCTCTACTCGTAAGACTTATCTCAATACAATTTACAACGTTACTATGGAAAAATAACTTAGATAAAAATGAAAAAAATCAACTTTTTTGTATAAAAAAAATACAATAATCGTAATAATTACAATCTTTGACTATTTCTTAGAAAATAATTTTGATAAACCAAGGTTTTACTAGTTTAATTAATTTAAGTTTGTATAGATAACGTATATTTAAAAATAATCAAATTTTCAATAGATTATGGTACACACATACAACATAATATAAAAATATACTTAACGATTTTATATTGTTTTCTGATTAACAAATATTGATAAAACTAATTAAAAAGGGAACGTTGTGACTGAATTTAAACTTAAATTGTCTATCCTATAAAATTAAGTTTATATATTTTTAGATTTTTTTGTTCCAGTTTGAACTACTCGTGAAGATCCTATAGTATTAAGTTTTAAAATTTCAACTTTACAAATTGGACACTTAATACATTTTTAACTAGAAAATAATTTGTACTAATTTTGTCAAAATTTAAACTTCAAAAGCTAAGAAAAAAGAACATGTTTTTTTATCTTAAATCGTGCAATAAGTCTTCAAAAATATCTATCTATTCAACACACCATTTTAGAAATAATTTTATACTTATAAAAACAGTAATTTATTTTATGTTTCATACTCTAGGAATTTAAAATATAAGTACGTAATTATTATTAGAGTGATTTATAAAATTATATAATTTATACATTGCATTAAATTAGTTATTTTTTCTCATGGAGACCGTTATATTACTGTTACCGCTATATTTGTTACCTATACAAATATATTTACGGCGAATTTCCAAAATATTATATATAAATAAATAATATTGTTCATTACTTGTCGGATAGATGATTATAGGTAAAACGAGATTTATRTAAATAATACTATTTATTGTTTCATATTTAAATATTAAGCGTTAGAATGTATTAATGCACAAATATATAGAAAGTCTTGTTTCTTAATTAATAATAATGTTTTTGAATACCTTCTACCTATTACCTAATACCTATTATTTAGACTTAATGCATTTTTATTCTATATACAATTCAATTTAACTTTTTTTTTGATTGATTGATTGATTTTCATATTATGTATAATTTTAAACTCATATATTTTATATATTTGTAAATTTTGAAGGAACTTTGTAATATTAAGATATTATTTAAGAACACGAGCAATATTCTAACTTGAACAAACAGTAGAGAGAACACTTAGAGGCAGGGATCGAAACCGATTAGAACTGCGGTTTTTTCATTATTGAACACCGGAACMGGAACCGACATCAAAAGCTTTAAAACACCGGTTAAAAAAACCATAACTGAAACCTGAGGCCTTTAAAAAACCGTTTATAAAACCCAAATCGAAACCATAGAATTGAAAACCCGTTCTTCATCAGTTCTTGAAAAACCGATTAAAATTTAAAATCAATATCGGTTTCTTCAAATTTTATAAAGTTAATTATATTATTTATAATTCTAGTTAAAACGAGTATTTTTATTCGAAGAAAACAATATAATGTTGGAATTTATTAATAAAAATCCCGATGCTCTTAAGTAATCACTAATCAGTATTACGAAATATTAATATCTATTGGTAATACGAATATTGTTCTATTTATATTTTATATTATTCCTATACTTATTGTATTGGTTCTAAATTAAAATATAATATACCTAACTACTATTATTTTGTCCGCCCCTATGCGGTTATACATGTTTGTAATCACTAATCAGTATTTTTGTTATAT